TTCACCCACCTTAACCAAAAAGGCACAAAAAACATAGAATATACCAGACACAATACAATACAAATAAAATAGAGAGAAATGCAAAACTTAGTAAAATTAAATCATTTCCACAGTTATATGAAGAAGAAAAATATAACAAACTGAACAACCAATAATAAGTATTTGCAAGCTCTAGTAATGCAGTCCATACACAATTATAAGTGAATATTATTCGTGAAACAGTTTTCTGCCGCAGCTTAATCAGCTGGTTTTTGGATCCCTTTCTCGTTATCTAGTGACCCAAAGAGTATGCAGAATAAATCTTGAGAAATGTTAGAAAAGTTACTCATATACATGACAGCAATATAGGGGGGCCCGCAGGCCGGCCGAAGTGTTTCTGCTCAAATTACGACTATAGTTTTGATGAATTTCCATTGAAAATAACGTCGGTATTAACTGAAATATACCCAGCACAAATTAGACAGGCGCACTTAATATTACTATTTTTAATAAACAATTCCTAATGCGACTAAAAGAATACTCAAACTGTTGTCTTACTGTCACCAACCTAATATCTCAACTCCTAGTCCAGGGTGGTCCAAGGTTGTCGAATCCGGGAGACACACAATTATTTTTCCATTGTTCGCGGGCCACAATAATGTCGTAAATAGTGCAATACGAAACAAACACATATTGTGCAAACACATGCATCATTATTTGTCAATTATCAAGCTAAAACATGCATAAACCTGCGGAAGTATTCTTATATTAAAATTTAGTGTAAGATTTCAAACTCTTCATAATCATAACGAAAAAAGTGCATCAGCAAATGTACCGTATATCCTCATGTATAAGTACATCTCGCACATGAGCCGACCTCCTAAAAAGCTTTAAGATAGTGGATGTATAAAATTTCGCATATAAGCCGACCTTTCAAATCGCCGTATGCACCTATCACAGTCAATGATGTTCAATATTTTTAATTCAATTTACCCCCCCTGTCCAGGTAAAAATCTGTTCAAATTCATCAGCCTTTTTTCCAAACTCAAATTTAAAAAATAACTGCAGATCGATTGATTACCAAAGATTAGTTACAGCCGTTACAGGAGGGTAAATACTAAATTTTCTGATATACAGCATAGGTAGCATTTTTTGCAATACTGTTTAGGCTGGTTGCGAATTCTAATATTAGCTAATAACATTGGGCAAATTATAATGTTAGGCCATACATAATATTAATATATAGTTATCAGGCATAGCCAACCTTGGCTAATTGACTGTATTCAATTTCCAGTTTTCTAAGATGCTAAAATTATTAGCCAAAATATAGAAAGCCAGACAACAATTTAGCCTGCCAAACACATCGTTTAACTTCGCTAGTTGCCTCAGCTAACCATAACACTAGTCAATTTAGTGACATTAGTGATGTAACAATATGTCAAGACATTTTTTTGAAAAATTTTATGATGAAACAACACTTTCAATTACCGGTACTCTGCGAATGCGACGCAGGCCACAGATAATGAATCTGGGTTTGGACCACCCTGTCCTAGTCTATATGTCACTATCTTAGGCTTTTGAATATTGCTATAAACAACAAGTATATTCAAACAGGTATAATCAAGAGATATCCATACCATGATGAGTCCAGGAATCCCATTTACAGATTTATTTTTCGTGATGATAGTATTTCCGACTAGAAATTATCCAATACTTCAATACAAACTCCTGTAATATCCATTTTGCAGATAGTTCTCTAGTAATAAAGATTTACTAAATCCGCTCTCAAAGCAAGGTCACACACAGTGATACCTAGGTAATTAAAAGACTTCATACTGGGACAACTAGATAATCAAACAATCCGGCAGTCGCCAAAACTTTATTGTTAGTCATATATACCAAGTCAATTTCTTGGTCCATGCAGACGAAACGAGTGTCACATGATTTTAGAGCAGAGCAAGGTTGTTCAATATGCAATCACAATCGAAGTTTTGCAGTATAGTCAAAAGACAGAAAGAGCTCTTATTTAAGTTTTGAAAACTAAAAATACTCTCCTGTTTTACTTTTCCAAATTCAAATAATCAAATATACATTGGGTTTCATGTGATTTAAAAATAGAATACAGAAATATCAATACAAATTATTCGGTTTGGTCATTCCCGAGGTCAAACTTGCTTCTTCAATATCTATCTCACTTCATCAATATACAACGGTATACTCATATTTAACCTTGTATTTTTATTTATATTGTTCAGGTAATGAAGACGAACAACTGTTATGAATATGATTATGTATGTTTATTTGCCCCAAAAATGTAACAATATCTACATAATAATTAAACAGTAAAAAAGAGACAGATACATGTTCAAGACCTCACTGACCTAAGACACAGATACGCAATATGCACCCCTAACAATTATAACAGCAGTTTAGGACTGTTGCGGTATAATAGGATAACAGACATGAAATACGCTATAAAAATAAAACTATGACAAGAAACACGGTAACACACAACGACGATATGTACAATATAGTCAGGAGAAAAATATTAGATTCAACTAGTCTTGTAGACTGTAGTGGGAAGAATTCTATGGTATTTATAATAAATTGTTATTACTTCGAGTAATGCGCGTCAGCTCGTCATGGTTCTGCCGTCCAGCTTGGTTTTATCCGAAAAAAATCACCGAAATACATCAAAAACCGTCTGTGCAAAGACAGCAAATTACCATAGAATAAACTGTCCTCGTTGTAATCGCCATGGCAATACGGGGTCATAGAGCAACATGCCACGACGTTTTGGTGAAATGCCTCGTGGGTTGTGGCGTCGGACTCATAAGTATTAAGTATCAGTTTATTTCGACTCCATAATCAGCATAACCATAAAATGATTGGTAAAAAAATAAATAAAAACTGATTATGAAATCAGGAGAGCAAACAAAACCTTAGATAAGGACTTCATCGTAATGGCGTTGCCTCATGGCGTCGTTATTTTGTTTTATGTCAGAGTGACAAAAATAAGATTGACGAAAAATAATTTACAATAAAACGAAAATAATTTATCGGATTAATTGATCTATTTTACATATCGTACTTTACTATATGACTAACTTCACATTATGGATGTATAGGACAGTGAATTAATAAGAGTTTTTTACAGCTTTATGGTTACTTAATTTTGCCTATATTTTATAATTTGTACCTCATTAAAAAAGGTTCGTTTTGGGGTCATATGTCCAACTGCTTCCAAAAATTTGCCTCGAAAGAAGTGGAATATTTCCTGACATAAACAGCAATAATGGCAACGGTTGTAAGGACAACACAAAGCGAAGAAACATTGACCACAACAACGTCACAGGTGAAGGGGTAAAATTTTCATAATTATGGTGTACAGTACGACACAGTTCTTTAATTGCAAGAATAGCCCCCACATTAAAAGACAACAATTATGACAGTGAGTGCAACCCCTCATTCATGAGACAATCTGGGCCTCCATATCGCTACAATAACCAAAAGGAAGCACAATTTAAATCGTCACCATTTGATACCTCTGAGAAAGTGATCCGATTTACCGAAGTAAAACAATTTTACTTTTGCATTCGAGAGTTTTCAGCAAAGAAACACAATTTAGATCATGTGGAGGCCGACACGATTGGTTTAAATTATTTTTGAGACAAGCAAGACACAATATGCAGTTGTGCCCTCGTTTCAGAAACAAACAGAGTTTGTTTTATTGAACCAACGACACAACAGTTCAATTTTTTTTCTCTAGGAGCCATCGAGCCCGAGCGTCGTTTTGAAACTTCGCAAACCTCAGTCTGAGCAAAATGTTCGATGGACAGAGGAAACGATTGACAATGAACACATGGGAAAGAAATCTTCCAAATGTAAGAAAATTATTTTTTGACTACACCTCGATTAAGGTAGGTCTCTTCTCAGAAGTAGAACAGATTAATATCTGATCAAAATGACAGGGAAACACTGAAATAAAAGCCAAGGGAACTCACATAAAATTATGTATGGCCATTATGCACACTCAGCTAGAAGTAATCTAGATTCATCTCGGAGCAAACAAGTGGTAACTGTAGCCAGAGTAACCAGATTAGAAACACCACAGCCATTGAAGTTTCAATAAACGTTAAAATAATCTGATAAAGATGTTTATCATGTTGAAGATATTACATTCCCCATGTTTTGTTTATTTATGCCACTTGTATTTTTTCTGGGTAGGATCAGTTTTCAATAATAACTAACACAAGCATACTGAGACTGTCAAATATTAAATACAGGTTGTTGTATTTATGAAAAACCTCGGATATTTGGGGAGGACTCGTCGTCAGATGATAATTCTAGCGATAGTGATGACAATGCTTACGAGAAGAAAACGAAAAAAGAGAGAGCGCAGAAGAAACGATCGAAACAACATGATTGTAATGATCACGGTAAGTTCTAAATTATTTTGAGAAGGGAGAGCCCGCAAGAGGCTGCTGTTGATACTGGTTCTTATAATCAAGACACAGATATAATTACACTGTTATGACTATACATATACTCGAACTGTGATAATGACATAACAATTGGTGGTAACTTGAACCTAAAACGATGGAAACAAAGTGTTATCAGTCCTTGTTGGGTATGGCATACGTTAGCCAGTTTTTATAGACTATAGACTTGTGACCCGCAGCATGCAACCCTTGCAATGAATGACAAATATTCAAGGAGTTTCTTTTCCTTTTTACAGATCACAGCCAGCATTCTTCTGATCTGCCAGGACCACCCACATGACACAATAGTCTCATCCTTTTAACTTTTATACATATATATTTATTTTTTATTTTAAATAATTTGCTCAAAGCAAGGCGCTCACCCAGAACTGCAGAAGTTCTGAGGGAAGTTACAGACGACCCCTAAAGTGCCAAGAGCTACTGAGATGATAAAGGATTATAGCAAAGTCATATTATAGTTTGAATTCATCGCTCAGAAACACTGATTGGCGCTCCAGAAGTGTGTGTACCAATATGGAGGTAACTAATTTTGTTCGCCTATTTTACATCAAGTTGTGCAAAAGGACTGAAACCTATGGGCAGGGGGTATATTCACTTGACTAATACAGACAGTTCCCGAACTCACAATAGAATGAAAATCGGAATAAAGTTATGGCCTAACCCTAACCAGGTACACATACTACGGGAGTACTCACTGGTTGAGGCAAGACATGGTCAGTTCATGACGATCAGTTCAAAAAACTGAGAAAATGTTTTTACGTACAAATATTTCAAATTTGCACATTTCTAGTTTGAATCTTGTTCCACTTCACCCAGGTATTGATTTGCACATGAGAGAATTTCTTACGTTTACCGTTTTTCCAAATAGGAAGTTGTTCCAACCATACCATTAGATGCCGGTGGCCGCTTGTAAAAATAGGGCGATAGCATTATAACCATGCACGAGAGTTGGTACTGTCGAAGTATGTGAACCAAGATGACGGACATCAGAACGTAGTATGTGTACCAGGTTAGGGTTAGGCCATAATCTCAGGCACAAATACTACGGGAGTCATTTGGCTAGTCCCTGAACGAATATAGAAAATTGGAATAAAATTATGGCCCAAACTGGTACGTCCTGGTGTCCGCCACCTTGGGTTCACATACTTCAGGAGTACCTGAGTTTTTACTGGAGCCGTAGTCTCATTTTTTACCTCCTCAAGTCTACAATTTTTATTTTTATGTATTCATAATAGCGACCCCATAGGTGTTCGAAAATCATAATACAAACCGTCTTAGGGCACTTTAGGGTCGAAAAAGTCTACATGGTGAAAAATCTATAAGCCCCATATTCTAACAGATGACCTGTGGATACATCTTTTTTATTTTCTGATTGTCAATTGTAAAACACTTACCGTACTTGTATTTTAAATTAAACTTGAATTTCAAAAAAGTTTTTGTATTTATTGTGCCAGAGAGGGAAGTTGTTGAGATTAAATTTGTTAGCCAGTAAGTGGCAGAGAGAAATACAGCATCCCCCACGGGGTGCGAAATCACGTGCAATTAGAAAGCTTTGTCAAGTTAACGATTAGAAATCTAAATTCCAGACTTGTTCCAGAAGTCTCCCTTCAAAAATACAAATCAATCAACATGCATATCTACCACATTTTGCTTTAATTGTTGTAAATTTGCGCTGGCACATACCGAAACTTGCCAAACCTTCAGTAAAGAAAACAATAAAAGTTGCGAACACATAAAAAATCTGATAATCACAGCAAAAGATGTGGCACCTGGCAGTATTGGCTGGACACAAGTTAGAGATCCCAGGTTCAACCACATGTTAGCCACCCTGTGATGTGTATAAGAAACTGGGTAGGCAATATCGAACCGGGGAGAATAAGTGGGGTTTTGCATTCCAGTGAATTTTTACTGGATTCTCGTTCAGAGCAATACCGCGTTAAAAACGGATGAACGGATAAAGTCAAAGTTTTGCACAAGTTTGCTAAACTCTGACAATATAGCAGACGTCCCCAACCTTTTATGGCTTGTGGCCCCCTTCCAGAGGTTTCTAAGCCTCGTGGCCCCGTGGTATTTATAGTGGTATGATGATTGGAAGATTCCAAATCCCATTAGTTTCAAACAATTCATGCTCAATACAGTGATTAGACCCTGTGAAACAACCTTATCAAGCAACGAAACTAGGAAGTTTTCTTGTCAAGGGACAAGTAGAATCTGTTCTGCACCTTGTGACCCCTATTTAATGGCGACGGCCCCTTGTTAGGAACTGCTGCGCCAGGGTAACTACTATTGGGGCTGAGTGGTGGACTCTTATGTGTGATTACCGCAACCAGGGAAAGCGATTTTTAACAAAAAATTGATAACATTTTTAATCAGAAATTTAATTAGATTAGTATTTACAAACATGATTAGAAATAAATTTAGCAAAAAAAAAGAAAAAATTCTGAAAAATAACAGAAATCATGATTTAATACTAATCTATAAATACTATCAGCATAATGGCCTAGTGCACGGGTCAGCAACCTTTAGCATTGAAAGAACCGTTTTGCATCCTTTCCATCAAACTCGAACCTCCTCGGAGTCGCAACATCTACTCTAATGTCAGAACTCAGAAAAGGGGGCAATCTTGCTACAATTACTATTCTTCTGCAGAAAAACCATGATTAAAACAAAATATAGTTATAAAGAGTTATCTTGCTACAAAAACCAGGGCTATTCATTCATAATTTTTATTATATAGTATGTGTACCAGGTCAGAGTTAGTATTCCAATTTTCCTTATTTTAGTTCTATTAAGAGTCCCGGGAACTGTTTGTATTAGTCAAGTGAATATACACCCTGCCATAGGTTTCAGTCCCTTTACACAACTTGATGTAAAATAGGCGAACAAAATTAGATACCTCCATATTGGTACACATACTTCTGGAACGCCCAATAATTTGTGGAAAAATGTTTCTGAACATGACCTGATACATTCAGATTCAGAAACATTTTGGATTCGGAATTGCAAATTATGCAGTGAAGAGAACGCCACCCTTTTTTCTTAACAGAATTCACTCAAAAATGAATAAAAATAAGAAAAAAAAACAGAAAAAATTAGTTCAAAATGAATAAACATCACCGGGCTAAGAAGTACAGTGTTAATAAAACAAGAGAAAATGAAAAAAGTTGAATTAATTAAACATCAACCTTGACCCGGTACAGAAGCGACTTGACTGAGAAATAATTTGCTCAAAGCAAGGTGAGCAACGTAGACTCATTTTTAGTGAACTTAAAGGCAACCACTGTATTGCCAAAACTATCTCACATCTATGATAAAGAAACATAGCGGTGAATGAGAAGTTAGTACTCAAACTAACGTTTTCACGATAAGAGTGCACACACACAGGAAAAAAATTATCGTTCCGAGCCATTTTTAAAGGGTTTGCTACAATTAAGGAAACTTGCAGATGCCAGAGTTTCATAATAAAGATTTAATTTTCCCTACGTTCAGCCGGAATGAAAAATATTTTCCAACATAAAGTCGGCAGTCGATTATAAATTTCACCGGCTCTGAAGCCCTGGTCTTAAATCAGGTATGAGAAAGGTGAATTACTACATTTTTCCAAATTCGGATTTTTGTAAATTACGATCATAGAAATGAAATCTGAAACAATATTCACATTAAAAACTATGCAGCAGTTAAAAAAGAGGTCAAGTTAACTTCAGTGTGATTCAACATCAAAAATAAGGGAGTTTGAAAATAGCAGCACTGACACCTTTATACTAGCATTAGATAATTCTTACCAGACACGCCTCAATGGTTATATTAAAAGAAATTGTACTGAAATTTGAAAATAGCAGCACTGACACCATTACATTAGCATGAGAATATTCTGGCCAGTCACGCCCTAATAATTAATATTAAAGGAAATAGTAATGAAGCTTGAAAATAGCAGCACTGACACCATTACATTAGCATTAGATTATTCTGGCCAGTCACACCTCAATGATTATTCAGAGAAATCGTACTGAAATCAACTAAACTTAATAAACAGACACAAAGTTGAAATAAAAAACTATCAAAGCAGCTAATGTGTAGAAGAGTTGTAAGTTTTGATTATTAAATTTTTTCATCGATGTTAGTAATGAAGGCCAGCCTGTAGGGTGAGAGTTTGACACAATTTCATTGATGTTCGATATTTTGAAACCCTCCACTTTATGAGTCTGGAAGTAGATATTCGAATCTTTAAGGCCTGAATGACTTTTTTTTCAGAGTTCGTGTTTGGGAGCACATCCTAAATTTTCAGAGTTTGACAAGTTTTTTTTTCATGATATTAAATGTATCAAAATTTGCGATTTTTGTTTTATAGATATTGAAAGAAAATCAGTTTTGAGCCTAACGTTGTGGCCCCTTTGGGGGGTTACGGGGCCCCCACTTGGGAACCACTGCGCTTGAGTTTTACTTCTATATTTCCATGTGTGTTGTCCCATTTCAACATGGTAGTCTTCAACCGTTGTTCTGTTAGTGAAAGATAGATGTCAGACAACTGTGTCTTAGGCCAGTTAAGGCCTTGTTAATTATTAATTAATTATGCGGGCTCTTTCAAATTTTGAGGCTAATAACTAAACATACATGCGAAACATTTTTTTTGAGTCAGTCGTAAATTTCTTCCTACTTCAGAGGCCTGACCGTAGTTGGTTACTTCACAATTAATGGCTTATTTCAAGCACTGTATTTATGATGCATAATTAATATTTCATTTCTACAACTGCACAATGTTAGCTTAAGCGTGACATAATTAGAAATAAAATTACTACATGGCAGCAAAAACATCTTCAATGGTGGCACAGGAAGTTAGCGGCATCTTAACCATGACAAAGAAAATGGGAGGTCAATCCCTAAACCCATAGTTGGATGATATTTACTATGGCAGCATGGCATTCAAACGGGGCATCAAATTCATTTCGAGGCATTATTGAATGCCTCAGTGTCTCCAAAGTCTCAGGGCAGTGAGCGTCTTTCCAATGAAAATAATCCTCTTCATGCCACGCTAGTAGGTGGCATGGTTTGTTTAGATTCCACACAGTAGATGCCACAATTTTAAACGTCATTGTTTAAAAACACAATGAACAAAGCAATGGTGGCTATTCGATGCCGCTTGGTAGGCGCCATGGTTCTCATGTAATGCCACTATCTAAAACACAGCAAGGTGAGAGGTGCGGCATGCCAAGTGGCATGGCACATATCTGATGTCATTGAGTAAAAAACATTGCAAGGCATCACAAAAATGCCACGGAACAGATTTACAACAACCAAATTCAGCTTAGTGCCACAGTGGGCACCAAAATATGTCCCACATTTACTGTGATATGTCGTCATTATCGGGGTCCACATTAGGAGGGGATTCCCGTTCTGGACTAAAACGGCAGCGCTGGTCCTCGATTCTTGACGATTGCATTCGAACAATCAATGCAAAGAAATCTTCGTCTGGAATAGTGGGCGTTGGCAGCACCGGAGCGTCGAATATCGGAGGGGACGAGCGCTGGTCGTTTAACCTCGTGCTCTGAGAACGAAAAAGTTTCATTTCGATTAGGTTTTGGCCAATAATTGTAGCCTAATGGAATAGATGGGCCTTATAGACACATAAATCACTGAAAACATAGAATTCATCCCTCAGACAGTTTGCTGAGCGTCCACACACAGAAAGAAACGTGTTTTATCAATAACTCACTCGGTTAAAAAACGGTCGATTTGACATGAATAAATAAAAAATGATGGTTTCATCTCAACCTGTGGACGGACAAATAACAAGATGGCGGCCATCTGAACCAATGTGAATAATTTTCTATTTGATTAGAACTGTCCGGCCCTACTGATGAGTAAAGTGGACTCCTCTCACGTCACGTCTTTGTCAGAGTGAAATTGTAAACGCTCCTCACAAAACACTCACCTGGCATCTCATGAGAGCGTTAAAAAATGTGTCATCGAGTGAGTGTCTGTTTTCATTTCCTGGTATTCCACCATTTTCCAGTCTTGGTCGAAGAACCACTGAAAAGAAAGAATGAAAAACAACTGAAAACTTTGCTTTTTTTAAGGAAATCTATCAAAGAAAAATCTCTCTCACTCGCTCAGAAATAACTGAACTAAGTTTCAGGCGACCCTTGAAATACCAAATGCTACTAGATTATATAAGCTTAGCAGTGAGCGCTCCATGCTAAGCGCTAGAAATACGCTTGTTACCGAACCTCTGATTACTCTGCCATGGTACGAATCCCATGCAGGGTTAATTATATGCGAGAATATTGCTGGACTTCTCGCCACCGCACAACGATTAACATAACGACCGGTCGGTTACGGCTTCCTCCACCATCAAGTTTACGCATCTGAAACAAATAAATGGCAACTAATTCCATACCCAACGTGGACTGGTTACCTGGCTAGAAGTCGTGACTATTGCCTCTCTTCACTCCGAGATAAATTCGAAAAAAACCTAAGACAAGACTCATCTCAGAACAGAGTTATGGGCAAGCATTTTAATGATAACAGCTAAAAGCAAGGCTATATGCACTTTCTCAGAAAAAAAGAGACTCATATTTGCTTGTTTAGAACTTTGTTCAGAGCGGAAGATGTGAATATGTGTTGTATAAAGAATACTATACCTGGTAATGGAGCTGCAGCGCCATCTGGTTGTTGCAGATTGATAACACCTTCGCCGTTGATGCCATCGTTGACCCTTAACCCAGGAAGTCCAGAGAGACTTACCCTTTGCTCATCCATGCGTTTTGATTGTGAGTTTGCTAACATATTCATCATTGTTGAAATTTGCTGATGTTGGCCGTCTAAGAGAATAGGAGAGCGATGCTCAAATATATGGACACAAAGACCAAAACAAAGTAGTGCAGGTGTAGCAATCTGTTACAGTATATATACTATGTTACCCGCTGTAACGATGTCATAAAAACGAGGAAGGCAGTCATCGCGATGTCATAAAAACATGTTCCCATAAATAAAAACTATAGCGGATTTTGAATGAAATATCAAATCTCACAGAAAAATTCAGGAACAAATACAAGTAATAGCATTCTAGCAAAAAATACCGGCACTGCAGTCTTCACGACTTCGACTGACCACCAGGATGTAACAAATGTGATTGCAGAACCCCAACAAGGTGCGTAAATATTAATTTCGACGACATGACCTCTCAAAATGTCATAATGAAAACGAATCCCAGAGAGTTTTTGAAATAAATAAAATATCCGCTTAGTGAAAAATACAACCTTTAACCACTGAAAATTTCAAAACAATTAACAACTATACCAACATGAAAAAAAGAACAACATAGTAACAAAACACTGTATGATTGCCACCAGGTATATTCATAACACTGACTGTGCTTTATTTATCATCGATAGCAATGTTGTTGTGACCATGCCCACGAAAATGACTGTTTCTCAGTATTTCGAAAAAAAATAATAAAAGAACACTCACCCTCATCATTTCCAATGGGTTATCATCCCCCCATTGCCCCATTCGCTGCAGGGTGATGATTTGAGGGAGGGTCTGGAGGGTTAGGTTTTAAAAACGCCGGTAACCCATATTGGTCATCTCTCATTTCACATCGTTGATCGTCCATCCTACGACCTTGAAGTCTTGTGATAAGGTCAAAGAAATTGTCATCCTCCAGCATGTCTGGCGAGATCTTCTGAGCAGGAAAGAAATTTTTATTTGATGTGGGGGGAAGGGGGGATAAAGAATTGGCTCCTGTTACAAGCACTAAATAATTCCTTCTCATTTTCATATGAGTAATTAAAAAAATTGAGAGATTGTGTTTTTAGTTTGCCATGATCATTAGTTATGGACATTTAAATAATGCTGAGGAGACGAAGGAAATTTACTCCCAGCCTTGTTTGAGGGTCAAAAGCGTATACTGTATATCATCGCAAATAAGCCGATTTAAAACTCAAAATAAAAAGTTCCCAAGCTAAGAGTCGGTTTATACACGCATAACTCTGATCGCACTAAAGGGACAGCAGTGTGAGAGTGAGGATGAATTTCAAATTTTGAGAAGGATTTTTTATTCAAAAGTAAAACATAAAAAATATTGGTTATTATTAGGGCTGTCCAAGCTAACCGAATATTCAAAATCGAATCGCTGAAATTTGGTACATAATGCGCCTCACGACCACCTTTGCACTGCGTTTTTCACCGAGCAAGCAAAAACATGTTTCTATCGCTTTCTTTGTTGTAAAAAGGTGTCTCCTATTGCCCGGTGACATGTACCCGTAATTATCCATTTCATGCATGGTCATAAATGAAAAGTTATCGGTAACAAAGATTTAAAGATGACCTATTTTGAGAGAACACAAGGAGAAAAAGGCAAATTTAGTGTCAGCGAAAACGACAGTTCTATAAATAGAATCGATTTGTAGCTGTTGAGTCAGTAGTCATAGGAACATGGTACAGGACTGAAACACGTTTTGGAGGTCCAATCCCTTTTTTCAATAGAATTTCTTCTAATGGCAATACTTTGATCATCCATTTGTTAATTACAACAATAATATGGTCATCAACAAATAATGTCATCAAACTAGCTCTGAATTTGTGAGTTCCCAAAATTCAATTTTAAATTTTTTGGGCTACAGTTATATCTATATTAATAGTTGTTTATCATTTTACTGAAAATTACATAAAAAATCTTGAGTTAATAATACTAATAATAATAGGATTAAAATAGCAGCTACGGTCTTTCATTGCCCTATTGAAACTGAATCCATTAAAAGAGTCTGTGCAATTTCCAACTCTTAAAACTTGATAGTTTTCGAAACCCTAATTTTTATGACCAGTTCAAGGAGGCTTGTGATCTCCTTTTATAACTTTGGAAACATAGTTACTATGCAAAATATTAGCAATAATTTAGATGTAACTGCACATAAGTTATCACAATATCGAAGAGGAAGTTTTTATTGTACGATAGAGACAAATATGGGATTGCGCAATAATATTCGATTATTCGGTTCGATTCGAGAAAAATATTTGATTCGAATCAAAAAAAGATTCGATTTTGGACAGCCCTAGTTATTATTAAGTGCAGTTTTATGTCTATTTTACGCTGAGCCAATATCAAATAGGACATTCGTATTATGCCATTTCCGCAATATCGAATAGACTCTTAAATATATATGGCTGAGCAGAAAAAAAAGAAAAACGATATTGCCTCCAGATAAACACCTCCAAATTAAATAATATTGAACCCTTTCCGTGCGATTTTTATTTTTTATTAAATAATCGTATTTGCTACGCCGATTTTATGCATTTGTACCCCCACAACTAATCGATCGACTAACGAAAAACTAATGATCCTCCGCTGCCCACTGACGGCTCGTTGGAAAGCTCATTTAAAGAGCTTGCAATTGGCGATTAAAAAAAAAAGTTTTTTTAAAAGTGGTGGTCTGAGTCACAAACCGGATAGAAAAAAGGCATTTTTTTTTCTTGGGAGTTGAAACTTCAAACCTTGATAAAAAATAGAAATATTCGCTAAATCCTTTACTGTTACCGCTTCGTGGTTGGCAAACAATAGCATAATATTGCTGTAGCAATTTAGTTATCTAATTCAAAATACTTTGAATGGAAGAGATAATATATCTTCTATTACCACCCAAAAAACACCGAAATTTGCATAAATTTCAAAAACACTCCCTCGTTCCGCCGCAAATAAAATTCCCGTCGTAAACGAAAGCGAGATTTACCGTCGCTTATGTTAATCTCGAAGAAGACTTCTTATCAGCAAACTAAAACCCGGAAAAACTAGACCAACAGTTTGCGACCGATTGCTAAATAAAACAGTGGAGTACATCAACGTACCCGCTGCAATCTAGCGACTTTTGTCATTGGTACCTATACGTGCCCACCGCACGGAAAGGTTTAAATTACAGACCCTTAAATATATATGGCTGAGCACACAGAGAAAAGGAAAACGATATTGCCTCCAGAAAAACACCTCCAAATTAAATACCATTTAAAATACAGAGTTTTGTGCCCAAATGTGACCACTTATTGAACATTCTCCCTCTACGAGCATTTACTATGTTTTTACCTGTTTACGAAACCAGTTTCAATTCAAAGAAAATTTGACTGGAAATTTGGAAATTCATCAAAAAATTGAATATAAAAACCATTCAAGACTTACTATTTCATTCACCGGACTGTTCAGCTACTCTCAATAGACTCAGTATATCCAGGTACAGCTACTCCCAGTAGGTAAGTGTGTAGTATATCCAGGTTACATCTCTATATGAGTTATAAATTCCCAAGTGCTTTTGTAGAAACATAACTCAATATATCATCGCCTACATTAAGCTAAGGCTAAAATCACAAGAACACACAGATTAGTCAATATTTACAGTAATAAAAGAATGTATAGGATATGTTGAATTATACAAGAGTATATGTGGCATCATGAATATGGGGGATATGCTTCAGCAACATGAAGCAGTGGTTATAAATAGAATTGTGACATATTAGTTGCATTAGGGATCAAAAAGTATTACAGGAAAATGGTGATAAATTTAATTTTACCTCACAAAACAGTTGCAAACAATTACAAAACCTACTTAATAAAAATATGGAAGATTATAAACACACACTGAAATAACATTGTCACAATATTCAAAGAATGTATAATTCTCAGTTTATTTATGGATATGCTTGTCAAATATATCGAATAATAACAATCATCAAAAAATTAAAATAGTTATAATATTATCTGCTTTCTCTTTCGCAAAATTAATATACGTTTCGAAACATTATCATGCTTGGGAAAAAGTAAGAATACAACAGTAAGCAATATACATGTTTAGAAATAAAAATATAATGAAGATAGTTGAAGAATATAAACACACACTGAAAATATATTGAAACACTAATTATTAACATATGACTCAGTTTAATTTAAGACCTCACATATCCAAGTGGATGTTCTATCGAGTGAGAGTCAGATATACTGAATAAATACACGTGGAACAATCATAATAGTCAAGAATCTAAGTTCAATTTATGGGTATAATATATTATGTCAGAAAGTTGGCTCTTTAACATCAGAGTCAAAATATATCTCTCTCTCAGAATTAATACAAAATTTTCATTTGTAACAGTAAGTAATATATCTATTACATGTTTGAAAATACAAAATTTAATACAAATAGTTGGAGATTATAAATTAGCATGAAAATATATTAAAACAGTAATAAAGAACATAATGACTCAGTTCAATCTAAGAACATGCACTCACTCTCACTTTAATTCAAGGAATGCATGTCCAAGTGACAGTTCTATAAAGTGAGAGTCAAAATATGTAGAATAAGAAGCTTCATTTAAGTCTAATTATCGCACTATTTCAGAATGAATATATCAGTAATAATATTAGTCCGATTACTTGATTTAAAGTGTAGGCCTCACAAATGAAATGCAGAATTGCCTGGTATTCAACAGTATTCTGTGCTTTGAAGTAGGAAGTTTAATTGGAAACTCCAAACCTTTTTTTTTGAGGTATTTCGCACCCCAAAGGACAGTATTTTTTGTTTCTGGGCTAATTAGGAATGGGTTGGATATTTGTGAAGTATCTTTGGACGCTTCATGCTTGGAAACTCATGCTTTGCTGAGCTTGTTCAGACTTTTTCAAAATAATAATTCAAATCCAGACTGGTCTAAGATTGGATTAATTATACAGAAACCCCATGATTCACTATTTATCTTTGCACTTGGACAAAGTCTCACAGTTTCCTTAATCAGAAATTCCATCTTTGACTCGGGCAACTCTTGACAATAGAACTCGAGCCCTTCCACCCTCTGAACCAATCTAGAAACAATCATCAGTTCATCATCAGTGAGGGATTCTGTAGTTGATCTTCTTAGGTATAAGAAATACAACTTGACATCTTCATTTTCTAAACTTGAACAAAGAGCTGATAACTGCTCAATTGTTGGGGTGCAATGTTGTGCCCGCAGAATCTTTGCCTCAGTATTTTTCAGCAACTTTGCCAGTTGTTGAAATGCTTCTGCATCCATGTTAGGATTATCACCAATATCCAATGAAAACAACTTGACACCATATTCAATGACTGCTTGATTCATTTTACTTATTTTCTCTGCATTCAGGCCACAGTCATTCAGTGTGAGATCTTCAGTCTTTGCATTTCCTAATAATTGAGGCAATTGTTGAAATGCTTCTGCATCCATGTTAGGATTCCCATAAATAGACAAATTATACAACTTGACACCATATTCAATGACTGCTTGGTTCATCTTACTTATTTTCTCTGCATTCAGGTCACAGCCACTCAGTCCAAGCCCTCCCGCACCACCATGACAAACCAATCCAATTAGATAAGAATAACCAGGTGGTTCAAGTGCAGGACTTTCACTTATTATGAGGCTCCACCCAATCTTAAGGTTTCCCTTCATCACGGCTTCATTCAGGATTCGAAGTTTCTCAGCATCAGGGTCACAATTGATAAGATTGAAAAATTCCACATGAACATTCTCCACAGAACCAAGAACATGTTGCAGAGAAGAATAATTTTCAGGATGTATTTCCAATATCCGTAGTTTCAAAGTATGAAGTGAAGGACTATGATCAGCAACAGACATCACTGCATGCTGATCACCAGATAGGACTGACCTCAACTTCATCTTTTCTATTTGTGA